ACGTTAACTAAACATACTTTACTGAACGTTAACTAAACATACTTTACTGAACGTTAACTAAACATACTTTACTGAACGTTAACTAGACATACTTTACTGAACGTTAACTAAACATACTTTACTGAACGTTAACTAAACATACTTTACTGAACGTTAACTAAACATACTTTACTTAAAACATACTTTACTGACGTTAACTAAACATGCTTTGCTTTAACTAAACATACTTTGCTGAACGTTAACTAAACATACTTTACTGAACGTTAACTAAACATACTTTACTGAACGTTAACTAGACATACTTTACTGAACGTTAACTAAACATACTTTACTCAACGTTAACTAAACATACTTTGCTGAACGTTAACTAGACATACTTTACTGAACGTTAACTAAACATACTTTACTGAACATTAACTAAACATACTTTACTGAACGTTAACTAAACATACTTTACTGAACGTTAACTAGACATACTTTACTCAACGTTAACTAAACATACTTTACTGAACGTTAACTAAACATACTTTACTGAACGTTAACTAAACATACTTTGCTGAACGTTAACTAAACATACTTTACTGAACATTAACTAAACATACTTTGCTGAACGTTAACTAAACATACTTTACTGAACGTTAACTAAACATACTTTGCTGAACGTTAACTAAACATACTTTGCTGAACGTTAACTAGACATACTTTACTGAACATTAACTAAACATACTTTACTCAACGTTAACTAGACATACTTTACTGCACGTTAACTAAATATAGTTAACTCAACGTTAATGTACGTTTGCTAAATATGTTTTACTCAAGGTGAAGTAGATATGCTTTACTGCAGGTTAAATAGACATACTTTACTTTACCTCATCGTAACAACCAATAATTTACTGAATGCCCCGTTTCACGTTAAAAGGCATGCCGTACTTGCCTTTTTTAACCATCTATCATACGTTAACAAATAAAAAAACGTCTTGGAAACAAAATCGCAATTAAAATCGGCCTATAAAAGTAACTGCTTACCATCAGAAACAGCTTGATTGATCAACGTGTCATAAGTTTATACGAGAACGCTCTTGTGCTCCTGAATATGAGAGGAATATAACATCGACTCTCCTTTGAAACAGTAGACAGTGATTGACGTTACTACTGAAGATACATTCAACGTGTCATGTTTAAAAATACACTCAGAAGAAAACAATTCCATGAATTGAGTTCAGTTCTACAGAGACCTATTTCTTAGCCCAATTGAATACAATACACCACGGAATTGAGATGCATGTACGTTTTATATTCTGCTGTGTCATTGATAGTTGAAGTAAGCTTGTTTGAGAAATCGTAACCAGTGTTTCTCTCTCTCGCCTATTTAGGAATGTTGCATTAAAATGTCACAGCATCCGCCGGTGGTAGATAAGAACCTTTGAGTGTGATGAGCTGCTTGCGTTGTTTCACTTATTATCGATATTCTCGGTTTGTTTAAACTGGTGGTAACAGGCTGAAAATGACGGCAAATGAGATTGTTTATTATAATACCATCTCGTACAGCAAAGCCGATAATTACATCAGGACAAAAGGCCGGAGAAATAACAAAGGATGGCACGAACTTTCGATCTGTTGATTGTGGAGAGATACAAAAGTGGCTGGTGCCCAAGCTCGTGCATAGATTGACATTGTCTCTCAGAAGATGGCGACATTCACTAGTCAAACCTGTACATATAATCTTATAATATATTCAAACTTGTGCATTTAATATGTACGATGTATTAAAATATGTACATTTAATATGTACGATATATTCAAATATCTACATTTAATATGAACGATATGTTCCAATATGTCCATTTAATCTGTACGATATATTGAAATATGTACATTTAATATGTACGATATATCAGAATAGCCGCATTTAATATGTACGATATATTGTAATACGTACATTTATTATCAACGGTATGTTCAAATATGTACATTAAATATGTACGATATTTTCAAATTTTTACATTAAATCTGTACGATATGTCCAAATGTGTACGTATAATCTGTACGATATGTTCAAATGTATACATATAATCTGTACGATATGTTCAAATGTGTACGTATAATCTGTACGATATGTTCAAATGTGTACGTATAATCTGTACGATATGTTCAAATGTGTTCGTATAATCTGTACGATATGTTCGAATATCTACCAGGTTTATGTTAATGCACGCTTAACTTAATGGGAGTCCTCGTCATTTAAGCTATAAGAATAAAATAACAAGCTATGTTGCAGGAGACGCCGTCCCTGTACGCGGAGAACTGTCCCCCAACTCTGCTAATTGAACATGTAAATTTGAAAACAAAATATAGAAAATGCGCGTAAAAGACATGATGAAAACATTTTCAGTTGTCGGGCACTTTTGTAAATCTGACAGTGTGATATCCCAAAATGGAAGGATATCGGCAAACGGTTGGGGATAGGTTTAGGTTGATTGGGGGAAGCTACAAAGATTACTCAACATGAACAACTCATTACTTTGAGTAATGTCTGAGGGGCAACTTCAGGGCTGCACAAGGAATCCGACATTCGACGTCAATAATAAGAAACAGGTTGAAGACTGGGGTCTGAAATCAAGATATCTTTCCTGGGGACTGTGTCTGACTATGGCACACAGGCGACTCAGCCAAAGCGAACCACAGCTGTTTAGACGTCGTCAACAGCTGCACTGGCGATCACCACATGCACAGATGAATCATGTTTCAAGTTGGTCTTTAACGATGGTAGACAACGAGAGAGGGGTACTATCTGGCAGCAGCCAAAGGAACAATGGTGGGTACCTCTGGCAGCAGCCCAAGAACATGATGGGTACCTCTGGCAGCAGCCCAAGAACATGGTGGGTACGGTGGCAGCAGCCCAAGAACATGGTGGGTACGTACGGTGGCAGCAGCCCAAGAACATGGTGGGTACGGTGGCAGCAGCCCAAGAACATGGATGGTACGTACGGTGGCAGCAGCCCAAGAACATGGTGGGTACGTACGGTGGCAGCAGCCCAAGAACATGGTGGGTACGGTGACAGCAGCATTACGTCTCTGGTTGCAGCGCCTACTACAACAGGACGGATCTGATGATCGTACAAGGGGAACATGACCGGTCAACGTTATGTGGACCAAAGCGTACGTCCAGTAGTCATACCAATAGCCAAGTGCGCAGCTCATAACCTTGAGTCCAAGGGTAACACCGCACGACTCATCGGGCACGTTGAAGTCGACTGCTGAGAAGTCTTCACAACATCGCCAGATCTCCAGTCATGTGAGCGAGTGAATACCTTGAGATGTCCAGGGGAAAGGGGTTGACAATAGAAGTCAGTATTCCCAACATCTACAACAGCTTGAACAAACCTTTCAAGAAAGATAACACGGAAGACATCCCGGTGTTTTCATATTCAGAACGCTCAGAAGATGCCTGCATCTAGGCTTACAGGACATTGACCAATTACTACGAAGATATAATTCCACAACGTCATTTCTTATATATCATTTCGGAAAAAGTCTATAATATTGTAGCTATACATTAATATACCGACTTTTGAGAGGTTGTGTGTGTATTGAACTGTCTACCGGGTCGTTATCTGTGACATATGTATATATCTACCAGATCATGTGGCTCGACGATATATCAAATATCCTCCAGGTCGTGTCGTAAAATATGATTAAAAATTTACCCCACAGTGCAGCAGTATGACATATCCACATTACTGTCAGTTTGTGTACGTGACGACCCGTGAAGATCCGAGTCAGAATTGATCTTCAGCAGCCAATTCGTTTATACAAGGCGACTAACGGGATCGGGTGGTTGGGCTCGCTCACTTCACTGTCGCGGTATCCTAGAAGCGTAGATCAATGCTACACACGTTGACTGTTGTAGAGCCAGTAGGGGCAGAAGAGTAGAACGTCCACACCTGTATTCGCCTCCAAGCTATTACTCACAGACATTAATTCTCCTGAATATAATACTGATGATCATAAAGCCCAATTAAGACCTACCTTGAGACAGAACAGTTCGATCATCTCAAGTCAATACATCTCATGACAATAGCAACCATTGTGGTCTAAGCTTTAATTAAAATTTTAAAAATCTCTAAATGAATTACTATCGTAAGAAAACATGTCTAAAGGGAATAAATGGTTTAACTGTGTTGTTCAAATTGTACGTATTCAATTAATACAGCAATCTTTAAGAAGAAATTGGATAGCATATGAACACAAAAAGGATTAAATGTTATCATTCGCATACTAGGAGCTATAAGAGCAATAGAGCATCTGGATGCATTCTGTGTTACTGAAGATAATTTGATTACTATTTCTATTCGTATTTCTTATCGGTTATCGGATGACGCTTGGGGACATCCATGTTCTATAGACATGTCCAGCTTGATTCAGGAATAGTGGGGCCACTAATACAATTTACGTTTAAGTCGGGTATTTTTGTCGGTGATTGTGTCAGTTAAGAGTGTACATCGATATCTGACTTGCCTAATCTTGGACAAGCATCCTGGACGGTTCCTGGTTGGTTAAAACAAACGCCCATGCCTTTCAGTCGCCCTTGATCGATACCGGACAGAACTCTCCGGCGTGGGAGGGAACAAAGACCACGCACCTGGCAGAGCCGAGCGCTGATTGGCTGCATCCCCCCACTTCTCGCTCCGTCAATCACAGCTTTCGCAAATTAACGCAATTATATTTTCTAAAAGACATTTCGCAATGACAGCTTATAACAGTACTAAATTATGTGCTGTTTCTATAGCTACATACGCATATGGTACTTAAATATAGTCCAATTAATCGCTAATGTGACCCCTCTGTCAAAGTGAAAACATTACGCAGGTATGAAACTGTGAATAGTTGATAGTTCCACACCTCGCTGCTACGGCCCAACCAAATCACTTACAATCTGACGCCGGAAGTTTGGAGGTCTATGGTTGGCCAATATAAACGTCGGGCGGCGCAAGCAACTGCCTTAGTTCCATCGCCGGCGTTGTCGCACCAGACGAAGCTCAGCCTCAGGATCAGGATCTTTCGCTTATATACCCAGCCAGGATGGTGCGTCAATCTAACACCGTGCATGTACTTTGCAGTGTGTCCCTCATCCTCCTCATCTTGTTACAAGGGCTGTCGTCTGCTGCACCCATTGACGACTTCACGGACGATGACGAGGAGGCCATTAAGGTAAGAAAAACTTTTAACAACTTTTACAATTATGTTTTTTGGGTTGAGATTTATGGCTTTGAACCAAGTCTTTATAGCCTTTTTAATACTTGTTGCGGGATTAAGTTAATCTGAACGAAAATTAAAAGGCGGTAAAACTGTACTGGATGCCGTGAAACGTGTGAAATGCTTCAAGGAATGGTGTGTTTTTTGCCCCGGCGACAAAACATTGTGTCTTTTTAATTATTTTTTTAACCTATTGCAACTTAGTTCAATCAAGTTATGATAAGGGAAAAACAACATCAAATAGTTAATCCTTATGGACTGTGTCAGGTAAGCTTAATTAAAATTTGCCTTCATTAAGTGTTTTGGCTACAAGTCAGGTTGGTGAACAAATTTTACAGTGACGAAAGCCTGCTACTTGAAATATTTCAGTGAGGTCAAGAGATATGTCTTAAATATCATTAAAGCAAAGTTATCAGAGCAGAGGTGAAATTTTAGCTATAACGGAAGCAGCTGAGTAAATTTTGTAAGATATACAGAGATATATACTCAAATTTCAGTTATATCTCTAGTTAAGGTTCTCTCCCCCTCTCTCTCCCTCTCTCTCTCCCCCCCCTCTCTCTCTAGTTTAATGCAATCAGTTAGACGAGAAGATAGATATATACTGTGATAACAGATCTATCGTCTGTTAAAGTTTATAATGTAGGCAAGCAAGTCTCAATGTCTAGTTAGACTGGGAGACAGATATATCGCCGGATCATCGCTCTATCTCCAGGTAAAGGTTGAAAATTTGATAGGAAGATTGATAGGTCATAAAACAAACCCTTTCCTGTGTAGTTTATCTAGCAACGCAGTCCAGCAACATACCTTGATCTTTACCATTGATTGGAAAAGTCTGGCTATGTGAGTGTTTCCGACTGCCGCAGCAATACTGTGATTAGGTTTCTTTTCGTTATCTGTTCGCTTTTGTCCTAAACGCCATTTCATAATCGACGTGTCATATCAAACAGACAGCATCTTTATGGGATTGGGAATAATTGAGAATCACACAGACATCAAGAAAATATTAAAGCCATTCCATAAATAGGTAAAAAAGAACTTTAAGAACTTCTGAATTGTCAACCGCGCTTCGATGTAAACAGTTCCGAAAGATCCTGGGTTCACGGTGGAATTTTACCAATATGGGGGTTGTGGGGTGTGGGGGGTGTTATATGTTTTTTCCGACATGGGTGGTGGGTGGGTGGGGTGTTTCAGTTCTTGTTGCATCATATGTATCCGTCATCTGTGCCTAAATCTGGGATAATAAATTCTGAAAGGCATATTCCAGAGTGTCAGATTATGTAGAACGAAATATGAGAATACGTATCCAGTTTAAAAGAAAACACAAGTCAAGCTTTTTTAGTATCAATGTGCAATCGTATATGTTTGTACGTCACGCGATACTTGGTAATATAGCTTAATAAATTGGAAATCTAAAATTTCAATGAAAGGTATCACGAACACGTGCTACCCTCTCCAGCTGACATGAACTTCTAGATTTCAAATCACATCCTTGCGGAACACTATGACCAATATTGCCAGCGACACTATGGCACATCATACAGATCTACGGTGAGGGTATATCAACTTGGTTTCATGGGGTCAACCCACAGATGTTTGGTGAAACTGGTAGTTCTCTTGGATGATATCAGGGAAGTGGTAGATTGAATGATGTAAAACATCTTATGGATGATATCAGAGAAGTGGTAGATTGAGTGATTTAAACACCCGTCAGTGTTTGGTCTCACACCGCTATAAGAGAGACAAATCACCTGTAACACTACTTGCATGAATTATGTCTCTCTCCTATAGATGAGACTGACGACACTACCTGCCAGAATTATGTCTCACTCTCCTATAGATGAGACTGACGACACTACCTGCCAGAATTATGTCTCTCTCCTATAGATGAGACTGACGACACTACCTGCCAGAATTATGTCTCTCTCCTATAGATGAGACTGACGACACTACCTGCCAGAATTATGTCTCTCTCCTATAGATGAGACTGACGACACTACCTGTCAGAATTATGTCTCACTCCTATAGATGAGACTGCACTACCTGCCCGAGGTTTGCCTCATCCGGGTGGAACAATGAATTAAAACACTACCGGCAAACGTTTCTTCAAACCCAAGTTCACTCAGATTTAAAATCTAGTTATACGCTATTAAATTTTCATTAAAACAATATGTGATGTTAAAGTTTTTGTGTGATACTTTGCTGCAAGTAATATACTCATGCTAATATGGTTGTCACCCCTCCCCACCCCAACCCCCACACACCTCACACCCCCACCCCACACCCCTCTCCAGTTAAAATAATTGAAGGGGGTGACAACCATTATTGGCATGAGAAAATATGCCATCTGACACTTTATAATCCGTGACATTTAAGATTTTCCGGAATCTGTGTTGACCAGTCTGTACTTTGAGCAGCTATTAACTGACTGGATTCAACGAAATATATAATGTTGTTCCACTGTTACCCGCCCCGGGCATGAAGACATGTTACCAAACACGGAATCTGTATGTGTCAACCACAAGTTCACTTGTCGTAAAAGTGGCAATTAAAAGCCATTCCAACAATGGTCACTACTTGAAGACCAGCCTTCGCTGGATGTACAGCAATACATCTGTGTCTGTATCAACACACCCTGACTCTGTAAATGATCTCTTTTAATGCCTGGTCAATTGATTGGTCCGTGATGGAACAATTAATGGTGGCCGTCCCTAGTTGTAGACAAGAGCGGCATCTTGCCATGTATGCTCTGCTCTCTTGATCCAGGCGTACATCACTCGCAGTAAATAACACACTTTGAAATATCCAAAGAGGTTTTGAAAGGTATTAAAGATTTAAGATTGTATCTTTTTAACTGCCGTCTAACCTTGGTCCCAGTTCAGTCAGGTCATTTCAGGTGATATCCACTCTGCGCCATGATGTATGGCTTTACAGAAGCGTTTAATTGACCCCCAGGGACGGCAAAAGCAGAACATAGTGGCAGAGATTGCCACGTAGTTGTAGTTTCTTGGCAGCGTGGAATGAGAAGAAACCTTGATTTGTCGTTCTGTGTGTGACATGCATTTAAACTGCACGATGGTTGCGTTTGAACAATCTATGTACACACGTTTAAGTGTCTCATAAGTCGATGAAACTCCCGTTAAAACTGCTGTTGACGGTGTATGAGGCCATTTTGCTTCCTATTGTAACTATAATTCTGTAGCAATAGGATTGTATGTATCAGGCAGTATTTCTAAGTAGCATGGGCAATGTGCTGTGACGTTAACATCGGCACCATCACACAGCGACGCCATCCTAACACGCTCTGTATACTCAGACCATGTGGTACTACCATCATACATACACCCCGTCATACACTCTCTGTCGTACATACTCTGTCGTACATACACTTTGTCATACACTGTGTCATACACACTCTCCATCGTACGCGACTAATGGGATCGGGTGGTCAGGCTCGCTGGTTTGGTTGACACATGTCATCGGTTCCCAATTGCGCAGATCGATGCTCATGCTGTTGATCACTGGATTGTCTGGTCCAGACTCGATTATTTACAGACCGCCGCCATATAGCTGGAATATTGTTGAGTGCGGCGTAAAACTAAACTCACTCACTCACTCCACCGTACGTTCTCTGTCGTGCAAACTCTGTCAGGCATGGGTCACGTCACACACACCTGCATACTCTCTGTCATACAGACTCCGTCGTACACACCTGCATACTCTCTGTCATACAGATTCCGGCATACACACCTGCGTACTATCTGTCATACAGACTCCGTCATACACACCTGCATACTCTCTGTCATACAGACTCCGTCATACACACCTGCATACTATCTGTCATACAGACTCCGTCATACATACCTGCATACTCTCTGTCATACAGACTCCGTCATACACACCTGCATACTCTCTGTCATACAGACTCCGTCGTACACACTTGCATACTCTCTGTCATACAGACTCCGTCATACACACCTGCATACTCTCTGTCATACAGACTCAGTCATACACACCTGCATACTCTCTGTCATACAGACTCAGTCATACACACCTGCGTACTCTCTGTCATACATACAACCCGTCATACACATCATATATATGCTCCATCAACAAAAGACGCTCCTTTGAATATTATATATCATTTGCCAATGGAAGGTTTCACGGGCAAACGTTTTCTTGTAAACAAGAACGTTATGCAAATAACCACCATTCACTGAAACTAAACTCAAACTATACCAAGTATTCATCAGAGGTTGATGGGTCTAAGCACTTCTGTTTGTTAAAAACATACATTCACTTATATTCCAGTTTAAAAACGTTCTAATCTGTATACTTCCGCCAAAACATTAAACAAAGTAAATTGTTGCAGACGTATTTCCTCAATTCCCGTCAACCTGATAAAGCACCAGCACTCCCCATGTTTAACTGCACAGTATAAGCTAACTACAGCGGCTCTGTTACAATCACGCATTACCGATCTTATTCATTACCAAACGGTTCCTGGTCCAGTATCCACCTTATGGTCTTATTGGTGGAGGTGATATAAACACAGATCACTTTGTTGGCTCTAGCCGCGGTGATCAGGTCGTTAGCAATTTCCTGAGTGTTGAAACCAGACCGTGTAGCTGTAAGATACGACACATCATACGGGCAAAGTCTTCAAACTTTAGTTTGACTAATCCACTGGCGATAGATTACACCTCAACTTAACACCTAAACTTAATACTGCAGCGACATATTCGTCATTCCAGGCTTAAAATGTCCGTAAGTTCTAAATTACAGGATTTATTGCTGTCGAGTTCCACGAATAAAAAAGAATTGATTCTAACATTATGTCGTCAGTCGTTCAGTCTTCATGCTTCTTTTCTTGCAATGCTTCAGAGAACTATACTTGTTTGAGAATAATTGGTGAAAACCTGTCAGTTGGTCTGTCATGCCATTCACAAGGTGGTGGA